ACTCAGTAAACCCTAGGCTGCGTCGTTGACAGAAAAGTTCGAATCTTCCTCCTCTACCGCTGTTGCTTTTGTGCGCAGCTCCCTTTGTTACTACTGCTTTCGCATGTAGCTCCCTCCGTTATTGCTGCTTTCGCGTGCAGCTCCCTCCGTTGTTGCTGCTTTCATGTGCAGCTCCCTCTACTATCGAGGGATAGGTCTGCAGCTTCCTCCACCGCCGATGGACACATTAGAAGCTTCCTCCACCCTTGACACCACCGTCCGTAGCTTCTTTTGTCGCTGCTATTGTCGTTTGAAGGTTACTCTGCCACCGCTGCCCTCTTCTTTCCCCACCTCTAATCCAATTCGGTGACTCCTTTTCTCATACCATAGCTTAGGTTAAAATTGTTAATCTGCCATTAGTCCCTATTTACTATTTAGAATTGTTATTAGGGTTTTAGGAATAATGGCTAGTGGACAAAGTAATTTAGAAGATTCATAAAAAATCTCAAGAAAGGATCTAAGTTGGAAATACAATTATCTAAAGGATCTTAAAGATCCTAATGTGGTGACTTGTATCTTTTGTGAGAAGACGACTAGAGGTGGTATTTTCCGTGCAAAGCAACATCAAGAATGCATCAACATGCACTGTGTCCACTTGATGTAAAGAAGACTTGCTGGGTTATATGATTGAAAAAAAGATAAAGAAATGAGTCTTATGGAATTTTACCCGAGGTTGATGTTCACTATATTGGAGATGATGAAGAGGAATATTATTTAGAAAGTGTCAATGCTAGTGGGAAAAGAGTATTTGATAGAAAAGGAAAAGTAGTGATTGCTAGGAAGGCTAAAAAGGGATCAATGGACTTGTATATGTATCAAGGATCATAGAAACAACAAGGTCAAACGGGAGAAAAATTAAGGCAAATAAATATAAGTGATACTTGTGATAAGGAAATAAGAGGGAGAACGATTCAACACATTGCTCGCTTATTCTATCAGGCTAGAATTCTCCTTAATGCTTGTCATTTGGACATTAAAGAGATGATTGAATCTATTGGAAGATATTTTAGGGGATTAAAACCTTTAAGTTATCATGAGTTGTGAGTTTCATTACCTAAAAAAAAAAATTAGATTACACAAATGACTTATTAAAAGGCCACAAAGAATCATGGGCATAACATGATTGCTCTACTATATCAGATGCTTGGGTCGATAGGAGACAAAGGAGTATAATTAATTTTATAGTCAATTGTTCTTTAGGAACCATGTTTATGAAGTCAATAGATATATCTTCTTTTATGAAATCTGGAGCAAAGATATATGACTTGCTTGACAAGTTTGTAGAAAAAATTGGTGACAAAATGTCATCCAAGTTATAATCGACAATGGAAACAACTATGTTTTCGCAGATAAGATTTATCTTTTGAATTTTTTTAAACTTTTAATTACTCTATATCTCCAATTTGAATGGCTAGTGTATAATGTGACTCCTTAGTCTTATTAATTTTATTGTCCTTTATCTTATGTAAATTATTTTAAGCAAAAAGATAACACTAATGTTGGAATTCATGTGAAACACTTTGCCTTGATATAATATTGGAGGATATTGGAAAGATTCCCAACAGCAAAATGACTTTAGAAAGGATAATCTTTATCATTGAATTTCTCTATAATCATACCAAGACTGAATATAATAAGAGAATTAATAGGAAGTAAGGAATTAGTGAGATATGGTGTCACCCAATTTGTTACTTCTTGACATTACAAAGCGTGCATCGTCAAAAATAGAACCTGAGAAACATGGTTACCTCAAAGAAATGGACAAACAAATGGTGAAAGAAGCCATTAGACATAGCCCAATTCTCCTACAACTTGCAGTAGATCTCTGTATCTTACAAGAGCCCCTTTAAGATCCTTACCATTATCAAACAACAACTATCAACTCCTCAAACTTTGACGATAGCCCGTCAGTATATCACTTTGTAAAGGAATGACATCGAAATGTAGATATTGCACTGGCATAGAAGGTGGCCAGAAAGATAAAGTGGGTAGATTTGGCAATGCAACCAAAAAGAGTTTAAAGTCAGCGACTTGGTGTTGGTGAAGCTCCAACTAGCATCTCTTCAAATTTTCAAATAGAAAGTGCATAAATATGAAGAGCCTTTCCTAATCATCGGCAGGGTAGACAACTTTTCCTACAAGTTACAGCTTTCGATATGGCTCAAAATCCGTGATCTATTACATGCAGGCAACTTAAAAGCCTATCACTCAAACTCACAAGATGCTTCCAAAAATGTTTCAATTCAATTGCTCCCCACTTGAGTGTCTTATGAAAAGTGAGTTGAAGCCATACTAGCGGATCGTAATACAAATCTACCCAACAGAGTGGAGAGAATGAGTCCATGGTGAAGTGACAAAAGCTTTCTCGAACATAAGCTAGTCGGGAGCCAAAACACACCCTGTGACATGAAGAAGTAAAGATTAAGGGGGGGCAATGTCTCGGACGATTGTCACACGCTCATAACATCTTCATTAATGGACCGTTTGTTGCTTATGTTTGCTTATATAGTAGTTTGGCATTGTGTTTTGCATGGCTATTATGTTTTTGCTTAGTTTTTATAAGCCTAGGAAGTTTGCATGGTTGCACAGCAGTTGCTCGTGGAACTAGGGAAAACTAGCTTGAAACAGCCCCATTTTCACATTGCAGCCTGATTTCTCAAGCTTGTAATGCAGTGCGAAACACTAGCCATCTCAGACCACTAGAACCCCTGGGTGGTATAGGGCTAGATGGGGCTTTGGAGTAGTGTTGGGCTCTATTTAGATTCACAAGTTTGTATGCAAAATGTGCGTAGATGTGTCTTACACTCGAACACCTAGTTGAGCGGTCATTTGTGGACTTGCGACTTTTTCCCTTCCAAAATCCTTGTTTTCAATTTCTCTCTCTTTCTATAAGTGTTTTCTTAATTACTTGTTTACTGTGCCCTTCCGCAAGATGTCGGGATTTGTTCGCTGCTCATTTCCTTTTTATTTTGCATGTCTTTTGAGATCTATACGAGGTTGCTTTTAGGCTGATCCTTTGTGGACGAATATCACAAGGGTGCCTCACAAATTAGGCAATTATAGCTAAGTTCATGATAGTGTTCGGTTATTTATATTCGTTAACAGTTGCAATTGCTATTCGTCAATGCTGCTTGTCAACTTTAGTCGTTCTTCTTTTACTTTTCGGAAAGAGTTCTTGGTGAACTTTCTAGCACTTTTCCCTTATATGTCTTGTAACTTTATAGTGATCATAGAAGATGTCACTTTTCTTTAAGTATTCTTGCTGTTCAATTTTTCTTGGCCTTCGAGGAGCACTCTCTATCCTTCTCTATAGTCCTTACACTGCAGGTTCGGTTATTCCTTTTGATTGCCATGGCTGTCCCACTAGCACTCAAGATGTTGTGAACCTTGAAGAGGCTCAATTCGGTGCTGATTTGGACATGCAAACCAGTAGTAAAATTCATCATCATTTTGTTGATGTCGAGAGAGATTTTGAGTGCCACTGCTTGTTGAAACTCGGTGTATTCTTCCACTAATTGGAATCGTCCTTGATGCAAGTTGTGCTATATTTTCCACTAATATTCGAAGTAGTCCATCAGATAAAAGTCTTGTCGGATAAGTCTTTTAAATTGTTCATCGCTGTAGGCACGTAGGTAGGTGTTCCACCATGTTAGAGAATGGCTGGTCAACTTGTGTCGTACGAGCATGACTGTCTTTGTTCCCGTATGGGGTAAAGCAGGTGTTTGGTTGATTTAGCCATGCTATTTAACACCATTACATTGATGCAGCCATTGTAGGTGGGGATACCAATCCAATCCTCGACTCGAAAAGGTGGAAACATTGCCTTCTCCATCGGTTCCATGTCTTTATCGTTGTTTTTTACAGTCGTGTTGGCTTGGGATCGGATCCAATCTAGCATGCCCTCCATCTTTTGCGAGACCGCTCTAACTTGGGCAGAAAGGTACGATACTATTGGAGTACTTTCTGCCATTGTCATCTTTTTCGTTAGCGATCAGTGTTGAAACGCCAACTCCTAACCTTCTTCTCCTGAATCTTTATATCCTTGCTTGGTGGTAACCATTGGCAAGTGAGGATCGTTGCTATGACATTATTCATTTGGAAAAGGATTCGATGATCGTGATCCTTCCTCTAACAGATTTACATTTTGGGAGGACTCAGAGAGAAATGTAATAGGAAGATGAATACCAAAAGGGACAACAATCTAAATTGCTTTTGTAAAGTAATACCTAAACATGCAACTAAGAAGAGAATCTCTGAGCAACAAGCTGGTACTTCTTGAGTGATAGCTTGGACTTCGTGAGTGATAGCTCGGACTTCTTGAGGCTGCTGCCTCTCCTTTTAGCTGCCAACTCCTCTTTCTTATGCTGCTGCTGATCTTCTCTTTAGGGCTGTTGCACCCCTCGTTTTTTAGTTGTAGAAGGGAGGACTCCTAACTAAAGTAGGAACTTTCTTCCAATTCAAATCCAACTCCGACTGAGCTGGGTTGAGTTTTTGAGCTGGCTGAACCTGAGCTTTGAGCTTGGGTTTGAGTTGGAGTATGACTAGAATTGAGTTTAGGCTGAATTGGAGTAGGCCTTGAACCAATTTGGATCATCCTTGATCAGTAAAAAAGAGACTAGCACAAGTATATTGATGGAGATCACATCAGCTTTATTCTAAAGTAGCTTAGGAGAGTGTAAAATGAGGATGCCCATTATATGAATGATATGTGACGTGAGTATATCTCTCGAGTGTTCTTATTTTTCAACAATCTACTGGTGATATATTATGGGGTGAATTAAATTGATTTTGGCTGGTCAGCATCCAGTTGCTGAGGACCATCAGGGAATATTAATGCACCTAATAGAGTTATAATGAACCTTTTTGTCCTTGTATTGTAAATCTTCACTGCTGCTATATGAATTATGGGGCATATGTGATGTTTATTTCTTGAATAATTTCAAATCTGGTCTCTGGTGCAGGAACTTTCAGGGCTGGTCAAGCTGTTGAATTGTTCCCATCCCTATGGCCTGAAGTCACTGTTCGAGATGTGCAGCTGGAGGACTACTGGGAAGTGGCAGATACTCACTGCAGTTGTTTCTTTCCAAATCATAAATTCCCAATAAATTTTATGCTGAGGATCAACCGGTTTGTGGGATTGTTTTCTAGGTCCTCAGTTCCTCCAGGTAGTATGAAGACATGTCTTGTTGCGGTCTTTGATAGTCCAGTCAATGATAACATATATGTTGAATGTGAGGATTTAAAAACTGGAGGCTTTGAAGGAAAATTTGGCAGAGGATCTGTAGCTGGAATTCTTACAGTTGATACAGTAGCTGATTTCCTTCCTAGAAAAGGTCCACTCCGACAAAGAAGGTAAATTCAAAGTCCTCATGATCAGTTGGTTGTCAAGAATTCAGCATGGTGAATCTACATATACCTTCTGCACTAGTGCATTAGTTCCACTTCATCTAAATCTGTTGTATCACATTATGTCTAACCAAGTAGTAGAAACTCAAAAGTTTTTCTAAGTGGTAGCATCAGAGGAAGGATTAGGATTCTAGGCAAGATAGGAATAGAATGGATAGTGCATTCATGTCTTAGGAATAGATTGGATAGTCCTACTGCTTCTGGTTCAATAACTATTATATGACTATTGACTACTACTTTATTCATTATTGTCGTCCCATTAATAAGTCTTAAGCAGTAATAATGCTCAAAAAGTAATCCTTGGTAAAGCTGATGCTACCATGAGTAGATGCTTGTTGTGTCAAATGATTCATATAGTCCTCGTTGCTTGCTTTCCAGCGGCAATCTTTTTGTACATCAGAAGGAAATTAATGGATGACTTGTTAACTTGATGCAGTTATCAGCTTATAAAAGCTTTTAATAGGAACTAATAAGATCTCTTGTGGGAGGTCATTCTGACATGCTTATTTTTTGTCTTTGTAGAACTGGAGTAGCATATATATCAAATGTTGCAGTCCGCAAAGCTGAGAGGCGAAAGGGGATCGCCAAAATGCTCATTGCCAAGGCAGAGGCCCGAGCCAGGAGTTGGGGATGCCGATCTATGGCATTGCATTGTGACGCGAACAACTTGTCTGCGATCAGATTATACAAGGGCCAGGGGTATAAATGCATCAAAGTGCCAGAGAATGCAAACTGGCCTGAACCGAGGACCTCGTCAAGTACCTATTTAACCTTCATGATGAAACTTCTAAAACCTAATTCAACTCCTTGATCAAGGTGAGGGGTTGTCTGACACTTCTTAATTCAAATCCATTTGGCTGATAGATGAGCCGTCTATATGCCAGGTGCTTAAATGTTGGCACAAATTATCACATGAATCAACTAAATCTGTAGTTGTTCAAAAGGGCAGTACCCTTGCAACATGATAGGAGGGAGTTGTATACATACAATATCATGTAGGTAATTGTTACATAGTGAAGGTTTTTATGTTTCAATTCATCTGACCATTTTTTAAAATTCTTTTATGGTTTTTTAACTTATTGTGTTTTGGATAGGATATGGCATCAATTCAACTGACTTTAGTTGTTTATTTGTTTTAGAGCTATAAATAAAGTTAGAACCAATGTCAATGAATCACATCATTTATGGCCTTAAGTTTACTTTGAACCTAAATCATTTTAATTGTCATCAGAAGAAGACTTTCTTTGTTCTGGTTTGGCCCAGTTCCGGATTCATGTCGAACCAGTAATCGAGCTGGACTTGGCCGGTCGTGGTTGGATCCAACCGAGTTTTAGAGCTAGACTTGGGGTTTTTATATAAGCGAGTTGGCCTCGTAGAAGCATGTTCTACAATTGAAGCTTTATCCGGTCTTTTGAGCACTATCACAATAGGTAGCTGTAGAAGGATAAAAGATCCCTCGTCACTCCACAGTTTCTTAATAATTGACATGTCTTACTGCACACTCCCTCGTATACTAATAACCAGATTAGTCTACAGCCCTCATTAGTCTACAGCTTCTTAATAATTGGCATATACTAATTACCAGATTAGTGAATAGAGAGCAAAGTTTTTCTGTTGACTCATCTTGATGTCAATCAAATGGTCACCCTATGATGACGTCGACACCACTTCGGCACGGAGGTCCGCTCATCGTTGCATGGCAATTGGCAGTTTCTGATGTCAGCATAAATAGTTATACTGCAACTTCAGCGTCCAATGGTTGCATGTCTTCAGGACTCATAAAAAAATATTCCTTCCCTCCAACACTAACCCCGTTGCACTATAAAAGATGTCTGTAGGGCTCATTGAAAAATTAATTCCTTTCATTCAACACTCACCGCGATGCACTATAAAAAACCTCTTAGATGCGTCATTTGCTCCATAAGAAAAAAAATACTCTTTACCGTTCTCAAATTTTTAAAATTCTTATTTACTTAAACATCAGATGAATTTTTGTCGGGTATACTTTCAATATAATTCTTGTAATATCATTCACTGAATTGCTCGGCTCCTCGATACTAAAATTAGACTCATGTTGGATTTGAGTCCCTGATATATTGAATAATCAAAATTTGACTTATCATTATTAGTGTTAGAAGAAAGGCTATTTGTTAATAAAAAATATGTAATCATGCTATCTGTAATGTGAAAAAACTTTTATGCCAAGATTGAAATCAAATAAATTGGATCTAACAATATTACGATACGTATCTTTCATTGTTGTTCAAAAGAATAAATCTTACCTATCTACAAGTGCCCCCATCGTCAGATTTGAGATATCAATCTGCAAGAAGAACTAGATCCTTCTCCTCTCTTTCTATCTTTTCACAGGACCATCTAAATTGATGGATTAGGGAGATTGAGAGAAAACATTTAATCTCTCCAATGCATTGAGATGCAGGAAGATTGAGAGAAAAACTTTAATCTCTCAACTGCATTGAGATGCCTCTTATTTAGCCCCTAGAGGTCCTGTCTATTTATAGGCGAGAGTAGAGGGTCTAGAATAAGATATTAGGAGAGTTCCTTTCATCAAGGTTATCTCGTAAGGAATCCTACTTTAACATGAATTCTTTTCTATTGGCCAATAATCATTATTAGAATCCAATCATATCTATAATATATCTTACCTAATTAAATAGGACCACGTAATCTAACATTCTCCTACTTGACCATTAATTAGTAAGATACAAAAAGATTTAAAATAAAAAAATAAAAAAATAAAATTTATTTAAAAATAATTTGACTTAATTGGATTCTGAAATTTTTTTTTTTAGAAAAGCTATATACATGCGCGCGAATGTTAAAAATAGGCCAATAAGTCCAATAAATATAATAATACAACAGTAAGTTTGACTAACAATATGAGTCATAACGGTAGTATGCCATCAGTGTCACACTTCCTTCTATGTACCATAATATTGTTAGCCTTTCCTAATGCAGTCCAAAATGACCCCTATAATTTGTCTTGTCAAGACAATCCTGTCATCATATTCAACCATAATTTGTACATACATAATTGTGAACAGGATAGCAGAAACTAATTGTTAGGATCAAGAGCACTAAGAAGGGGGGGGGGGGGGGTGAATTAGTGCAGTGGAAAACCTTCTGCGATTAAAATCGAAAACTGCTTTCGTTCGATAGAAATGATTTAGGTAAGAAAGCCGATTCGTAAAT